CCGCGGGCGCCCGGAGGCTCAGCGGCCGGACGGCTGGCGGAGCGCGGCTTGGCGCGGAAGAAGTCGTCCCGGGAGGCGGCCAAATCCCGGGAGCTGGAGAAGGCCGAGTGGAGGGGGCCTGGAGGTGGAGCTTCGGGGTCTCCCGATGCTGCGGGCTCCAGGGGTCCTCCACAGATGAGGTGCAGCTGGGACATCGAGGTCGCCTGGTCTCGTTTGTTACCGTCGGAGGGTCCCGAGAGCTGCAGCTTGCGGTGCTGTTGCCTGGGCTTCAGGCAGCGCCTCCTGGAGAGGGGAGACCAGAGGTACCCTCAGGACCGGGCCATGGCTAGAGGAGCTCCCTAACCCCTGTCCCCTGAATTGCAAGATAAAGGAAGAATATAGCTAGAGGAGGGGAGAATGCCCTGGGCTGTCAGGGGAGGTGAGGAATGGGTGCCCTTTGTTATGTGAACAGGGTCTTCCAGCAGCTGAGCCCATTCCGGCTCCCCTGGGGTAAACTCTGTGCCCCTTTGCACGTGGAGGTGGCCTGAGAACCTGGGAAGGGCACCTAGGCCTTCTGTGCGTGTGTCCAGCCTGAGTGCCCTGGGAGAGCTGGGCTGGTGGGAGCATGTAGGTTGTCCCTGGTGGGGTAGCCTGCAGGTTCTGCCTCCTGTCCCCATTTCTCTTAAGCCCCCGGCCCTCCAGACTGGGGCTGTGGGCATCTTCAGGGCTCCAGTGCCATCACAGCCCAGGCGCTGCTGGCCTTGGTCAGATGCCACAAGTCTGGGGACGTGCACTCACCGGCAGTAGTAGATGAGCAGACATAGCAGAATGAGCACCAGCAGGGCCAGGGCTGCCAGAATGGTGAGCAGGAAGATGGTGTGGTAGGTGCCGATGTCCTGGATGCCCGACGTGATGGTGACCAGCCCTGCGCCAGGCAAGGGCTTAGTGTTCAGGAGTGGCTGCACCTCCTGCCTTTCAGGAATCTGCTCTCCCGGCCTCCCCTGCTACTGAGCCCCGTGCCCCTGTTCACCCACCCACCAATCTTACCAGCCGTGGGGGAGGCCATGGCAGCCACCCAGTACCCCAGCTGGGGGGAGACGAAGGTCCAGTAGAGCTGCCGGCCTTCCTTCCGGATCACGCCGGTGCCATTGCGTACCCACAGCCCTGAGAGAGGCAGGGATGTCACCAAAACTGAATGTCTCCCCCACCTAAGTCCCACTTTCCTTCTCCAGACTCTAGCATCTGAAACCTCCTGAGGCACTTACCACTCTTGGGGTCGAACCTCCAGGCTGGAATGCTAGTGCCCACAGTGAGAGCACGAGTCTCAGAGGACACAGGCAGGGACAGGTGAATGGGGCCTGAGAGTGGCACTTCTGTCCCATTGCCTGCCAGCAGGTGCACACTCACAGCAGCCAGGGGCATCAGCTCCAACCAGGAACCATTGCCTGGGGGAAGAGGGCACAGGGCTAAAGGCTAAACCTTGGAGTGGGGGAGGCCTTTCCATGCCCAGCACCCAGCATACCTGAGCTGGAAGCCTCAGTGCCCAGAAAGGCGGGGAAAGCTCGCATCTCCTGCTGGGTGCTGGCAGGTGTGAGCGAGGCCCAGAGCTGGCTGTAGGTGGAGCTGACAGGCAGGCGCGCAGCCCTGCGCTGGAACTGCACCCAGGGCTGGGAGCGGGCACCTGGATGGAGAGAGGGGCTACAGTGGCCTGGCTGGGGACAAGGTCTCCGGGCACATGTACTTGCAGAAAGCAAGTATCTAAGAGGAATGGGAGCCATTGGGTCAGGCCACTTGGGAAGGCTGGGAGGTGGTGACCGAGGAGAAAACTGGCCAGAGTGTCAACCTGGAAGGGATATGGACCTGAAATTTCCTCTCCTACCTGTGTGACCCTCAGCCGGTCATCTGCCCTCTCTGAAACGCTTTCCTTATAAACCTATTGAGCGATGAGGTTCAGGCCCTGTTCCTGCTGTCTACTGTGTGGCAGGTGCTGTGTCAGATACTGGGGGGGTGCAGAGGTGAATCCGGCAGAACTCATTCCCTGTTTTCAAGTTCACAGACTCGGGCAAGCTGGCCCTTCCAGAACCCGCCAGAACTTTCTGCTGTGATGGAAATTGTCTACAGCTGCATTGCCCATCAAGGTCCCTACTAGACACGGGCTGCTATTAAGCATTTGAGATTTATCAATAGCAACCGGATTAATTTTTGACTCTTTAAGCATTTAACAATTTTTAAATTAGTTTAACTTAGACACATGTAGCTAGTCGTTACTGCATTAGATATATCTGTGTGTGTGTGTGTGTGTGTGGATATCATTTCTTGGTGAAAGCACATAATATCCACTCTTTACATTTTTCAAGAATGTATCATTAACTATTGTCACCTTACATACATCTCTTGAAGTGTATCTCTCCTAACTGTAAATATGTACCCTGTGCCAACATCTCCCCTTCTCTCGAAGGACCCTAGCCTCTGGTAATCATTATTGTACTCTGTATTTCTATGAGGTCAGCGATTTTTAGAATACACATATGAGTAAGATCATGTGGTATTCATCTTTCTGTGTTAGGCTTAATTTTCCTCCAGGTTCATCCACGTTGTCACTAATAGCAAGATTTCATTCTTCTTTATGGCTGAATAGTATTCCATAGTGAGTGAGTGTATTAGATATATCTGTGTGTGTGTGTGTGTGTGTGTGTGTGTGTGTGTGTGTGTGTTGGAGGGGAAAGTTATATAAGCAGAACTTTGATCTGGTCCTAGGTAACATTTATGAAGCTTTAAGGTACTCTGGGCACTGTTCTAGGCAGTTACCTATATTAACCCCTGTAATTAGCCTAACAGCCTCTGAAGGAGGCACCTTTGTTATGAGCCCCATTTCATGGTGCAGAAACGGAGGCCGGAGAAGTTCAGTACCTTGCCCAAGGTCACAATCAATCCTTGAGCCTGGATTCAAGCCCAGGCAGCGTGGCTCCAGGGCCCATCCTGTCACCCAGGACTCAGTCCTACCTCGTGATTAAAACAGAGGGAGGCAGGGTACTGGGGAGGCCCTGCAGAGTCCCACAGGATGAGTAAGAGTCAGCCAGGAAA